ATTTTGCGCAGTCATTTTGCAGCTACGCACAATTTGCAGACGTATCGGCAGACGTATCGACGGCGGTGGGAAGCGAATGCCGAGCATTCCGATGTCAATGCCGCGCCGTTTCCYATTCAGATTCACTGCCACAGAGTACAAAGCAGTGCAAAAGTGAGTGAGGCCGAGATCAGAATGCGTGGGAGGGGCGTGAGAATGCGTGAGAGTGCGTGAGAGTGCGTGCACTTACCTCACTTACCTCACTCACCACCCACTGCCTTTTCCCTTTGCCCCGGGGAATGCCGAATAAGTGCGACTGATGATGTGAGCACTTGTCCCATCCGTCCTCTATCTACAACCACCATGACCTCTCCTCCGCCGCCTGAGCCTTGCCTGTAGTATTGCCCCATACTGAATCAACAACCCTTTATTTGGTTCTGCGTCATACTAGTCTCTCTGAATTTGACTCTACGTCATCCAGCGGTCCATTCCTGCCATCTTTATAGTGACTTTGACTGTGCGTCAGCCAGACCTTGCGTCGCACTGGTGCCTTCACCAGCTCCAAGTTTTACTGAATGAGTGTACAAGAGGCCTCTGATGGCATATATGCTTCTGTAAGCCCTATATACTCACCTACAACGCGCATATACTCACTCTTAGGACAGATTTCCAATTTAGCTGCACGTCAGCTGGCTCACATCTGAAATTACTGACTCATTGCACAGGGGCACCTCCCCACGCGCCCTGCCCTGGATGATCCCATCTGCCCAGATACACTAACCAAAGAACCTAACGACTTCCCCCCGTCATTGACAACCACTAGCATGCGCGCGGAAATGTGGGCCTTCATAACGCCGGGCAGCATGAGGAGCGAGGCGAAAACGCGCCAGGTAGATATACACTTTGTCTCTGTCGTTCATTGTTTTGCCCACACTGTCTGAAAAAGTGAGGTTTGTACACATGCTACTGTAATTTATCGCGGTCCGCAACACCTGGCTCTAAACGACGACGTTGTGGGCGACGGTACAAACACGCTTTGTACTGTCTACACAACATCTATAGCTTCCCTCTTGTGAAGGCGTATACATGCATGACGTCGGAAGGGTCCATGTAAGCCATAACACCGATGAGCAATTCCGGGACATCGAGCGAAATGTCGCTGGTATAGGGCGGACGGTTCCAAAGCGACAATAACAATAAACGAGAGTGTAAGTGTTTGCTTACCTCTACTATGGAAAAAACACTTATCTGTGAAGTAGTGCCCAACGCTGACTATGTACCCTCCGGAGGCAAATTGCCCATAGGCGCAGAAGTTGCCCCACAGATATGCGATGCTAATAAATATCTAGCTGTCGAGCATCACTTAATGTGGTTGCCCCGAGCATCGAGCTCCGCGCGGCCTGCGTGCCGCGGAGATATTCCTCTGACTGCTAGCGAGCAGGGGACTACCCGGAGTCAGCGACGCGCACACGCTACAGGAATGATAATGGTACGTGCTTGTGCTTTCTCGTCCAACCCTCACGCTTAATCACCTCTTGCCCGCGAATGCAGACTACCGGACAATGTCTTTCATGTACTAATCCTTGATGTCTTCCTGTGCAGTTAACGGAGCCGCGTGTTGCTCGGGGCACGGAGATTGCAAATATGGTACGTCATGTTATTGATTCCACACTCACCTTTTCATGACATTACTTTCAGTTACCCTGCGCTACTGACTGTTGGTTCTGGCAGATCTAACGCGCGGTACAAGCGTGACGCCAGAAGGCGGTCCTCCATGCCTCTCACCACACCGGACCGTTCAAACTGCTGCAGTGCTCGCTAGTATATGGCTTCATTCATTTACAAAGATGGGAAAGCTATATTTTAGTTGTACTAATTGCTGGGATAACAGCATTTTGCGTAAAACGGAATATCCTAACGATACGGACGGTCCAGAAAATAGCAAAGTTTTCTCGCCCGCTGCCTGGGTCACCGCCAGACTATTTCCCTCCGAGTCCTGCAGCTCGCGTCGACGAAAATCCGTGCTTCAACACCTGGCCTGTCTCCGCCCGCTGCCTGTGTTGATCTCGCCAGTTCACTCACCCCATCCGCTCACCCAGGCGTTCCCGCCCGCTTCCTGCCCGTTGCTTGCGTCGACCTCGCCAGTCCGCTCGCTCCTCCCTCCTTCCTGCCGGCGGATTGCGCCGACATCGTCAGACCGCTCGCTCTGCCCACTCGGCTGCTTCCCACCCGCCGCTTGCGTCGACTTTGCCCGTCCGCTTACTTCCTGCAACATGCGTCGATGAAAATCTGCACAGGCTCCTGACCCGTTTCCCGCGCTTACTTCCAGCCAATTGTGCCGACTGCACGATTTTGTCGATCCACTTTCCAATCCTCTTGCCGTCCCGCTCGCTCACTACAGTTTCCGCTAGCTCATGACCTGTTTTCTCGTGCTTCCCGAGTCCCAACCACTGATGGCGTCGGCTAAGTGTAAGGGTGCTCAAAAAAAAGTGGAAGATCGTGCCTGGAGAAGCATGGACAACACTACGTGCGTTTTGGGACTCCCAGAGAGAAGGGGGGAACTCACAGAGAACCAAAGGAGCAGGATCGGAGCGTGGATTCGGGAGAGGAGAGACTACGACAAAAGGAGAAAACGACAAGAGAGGAAGGATGGGGAAGAGAGAGAGGATCATACCCTTAAAGACTTCTCCGGTCCCTCCATCCCCGCTCGCCGGCTGAACTTGTCTTAGCCAAGCCGCGTTGCGGCTTGACGCAGAGAGGAATCTAAGTGCGCAAGAGAGCAGTCATGCATCTGCATCTCTCCTCTCCCCCATCCGAGCCACTCGTACACATGTAGGCTTGCCCAGCCCCAAACGCCATACTGGTGGCTGCCCAGCAACCTGGCCTCTCCTTTTCTTTTGTCGTGCTGGCTTGGACGTGTTCGCTGCTTATTTTTCGTGTTAGCGACGTTGTCCCAATTCAAGAACTAAGTACTTCGCTCGTGCGCACTGTGTCACAATGCTATAGATGGGGGTTCGAGCATGTCTCGTACCCGTGCTGCAGGGATGGGTCTGTGGATGTACGCATATGGTCAATTCCTGCCAATGTTTTCGCCTAGTTCTCGTGTTTCATGACTGGCCCCCGTCTTTCTCCGTGTTTGTCTCATTTCTGAGTTCTCGTTTGCACCAGCTCAAATTTCGGCCCAGATCTCCTCGACCAACACGACCTGCACGGTCACCCCAACTCTTCACTGCCCGGCGTCTTTCAAATTTCTTGGTATGCCTTGGGTATACCATGTTCCCTGTGCACTTTTCTGTCATCCCAATGTTTTGAACCACCTACCTGTCCGTGACCTCACCTGGAGCCGACTGTAAGGGTGGTCCCTTACAGCCATATATAGCGCTGGGTTTAGAGATGGATGGCCATCTCTAAACACGCCTTTTGGCTGGGTTGGTTGAGCGCCAGCGCTCTCTCCCTTCTTCCACCGACTCCTTTCGCCCATGGCAATTTCATCAAACCCTCACAATGGCCCCATGCAATGGGCTCTATCCTCCATCTGTCAATTTTTTTCGTTCGATATTTTCCAAATATTTTCTCCAAATTTTCTCGGCTATCAGCCGTGTTTAGTCGGCGATGTGCGCCAAAATGTATCAAATACCCCGACGCTCGATGTTATCTTGCGGCTACTGGTGTATGCCTGACCATAACTGCTGCATTTCACAGGCTTCGTTCCACAAACAACGCCAGCGACCAATGTAGCTTTTTTTTGCATTACCGTAATACGAACTGTGTTGTCGCATTTCTGAGTTACTTAATGCGGTCATTTGCGTATTCCTGGCCCTTGACGAAAAATATTGGCGCTGTCAGAATCTCAAGATGACCGAGTTCCTGTGTACTATCACGCGCAACGGAATGCAAAAGTGATCTAGTAATGCAAAACGCACTCTACAGAACGCAATTCTTGGTCGTTTTTTGAGATTATTTCAGTTTCCGGTGCGCCTGGATGTGGCGCATAATCCCTTAAAATTTCATGAGGCCAGTTTCCCTAGTTGTTTTACAACTGCTTCGTCTATTCCTAAAAATACACTTTTCAGATCAATATTCTTGCTGCTTTGGTGTTTCCGCTATGTTAAAGCATGAAATTGCTCTAAAATTTTTACCAGACCATTAACTACATAATACCTATTTACCCATAAATTTTTAATTCCTCTTACAAGTGTGATTGATAAACAGGAAGGTAGATAAGATGATGATATGCGTGTTGTCACAGATTTGTCACACCTCAAGCAGTGAGACTAGTGTCACGATCTATGTCACGCAACCGTTTTCCACTTGCATTCATATAGCTGGGAGTCTATAAGTCGAGGTACGAGCAAACATGCAGTATTTATACATGCTGGAAATTTTTGAAAAATTTCTGTGGGTGGAAAGAGGCGGAAATTACAAAACAGTAGGGAATGTTAATATAAATGTGTATTTTTAGGGATAGACAAAGCAGTTGTAGAGCGACTAGGGCAATTGGCTGCATGAAATTTGGAGGTATTATGCGCCACGTTTAGGCGCACCGGAAACTGAAATAATCTCAAAAAACGACCAAGAATTGCGTTCTGTAGAGCGCGTTTTGCATTACTAGATCACTTTTGCATTCCGTTGCGCGTGATAGTATCCTTCTGTGTGACTGTTCAGTTTGCCGTTCCGCAAAGGTGGATTGGACTTGTTTGCAACGCAGGTGGTGTCCATTCAACGTCACCTATTGCTCGCGCTGCTCGAAACACTGGCTCAAACAATTTTATAAAACTCCTTGCTGTTGCCTTGCTGAGTGTCTTCGTGGTGTGCCGCGTTTTAGATTTGTGAATAATGACCGCGCCACTAGTTTCTTGCCTGTTTCCCAGCACTAATAAACCCTACCCACACTCCAAACATAAGCCACAATTTGAACATAGGTACTTGTGGGTACTAGGCAAATTGGCAATGGCAATAAGTAGCTCAGGTGGAAGAACATGGAACTCCTGGGTGCCGGCGATTGCAGCAAAAAGGAGACGTCCTTCGAACCGGGATCGAACCGGTGGCCTCGGGATAACTCGTAAACAGTTGCTTACGTAACGTAAATATTACAGTCCCACGCTCTTCCATCTGAGCTATCGAAGGGATATATGAATCGGAAGCTATTTAGAATACATGGGAATAGCAGTAGAGGAAGGAGAAGAGGGTGGGGAGGATGACAGGCGTTGCCGATCAATCGGAACTATAAATAGACGTTGCAGCTGAGAGCTGGAATGCAGAGCGATGGAACATTGCTGTTATAAAGTATGGTAAGTATTGCACAACCCACTCCTTATTTGATTCACTGGCTTGTTGCATTCAATTAATGTAACAAATGATCCCAAGGTAGTGCGTTTATCAGAACAATGAAATAGCGGCCTTTTTCTTTAGCTGTTCACATGCAGATTGCATGTGGCCACCGCCTTGTATATTGATACTTGGCGCGCAAGCTGCTCATCCAATTTACATGCATGAAGCAAGTTTATTCATGGCAGCACCACTGGCACATGGCCCTGTATTCCTTCGAGCCGTGGCCACAGCCAGTGACTTGTCAATTGGTGCACTGGCAGAATCTTTGCCGCTTTCAGCTGTCACTTCACACGCAAATAATATACTTGGCTCGGCGCAAGCTGCTCATCCAAGTTTCTTTGAGCCATGAATGAACTGGATCACGGCAGCACCACTGACACGTAGCGCAAGGCTGCACTCACCGGATGACACAACGAGCACGATTCTATCAATATATAAACATCCATAATATACAATACGAGAGCCAGTGTCCTTGTTAGCTTTTGAGCTCGACGATAATGTTGATCGACATGATGATAGTGTAGGTTGCGATGAGTAGGACGCCCCAGCGTCGTGTTAGATAATAGTCATTCAGTGGGACAAAGATAAGTGTGGTGGCAAGGAGGAAGAGGAGCCCAAACGTGCTGACAAAGAGCGTGGTGGAGAGCTTGAGGAGGTAGGGTTGCGAAGTTTGGTGGATGATGTACGAGCCAGAGACACCAATTCCAAGCAAAATGTTGAGCATCGGGCCGCCGAAGCAAGCGGAGAAACCCATGATGGGAGCAAACGCCTAGGACACATGAGACCGGGAGTTACAATTTAGCAATGAGCACATACCGCTACACTCATGTTCGCAACAAGGTCGGCGAGCGAATTGCCGACGGCAAAGATAGTGAGACCAATAATGGCATCCGAAAGGCCAAAGATAAAGCCAAAGGTCTGCAATCAAATTAGCAAATATCAAAGACACAGTCAGAAGGCCTACCTGGAGAAGATTGACAACTTCATCTGCTATAGCCATAATCCATATCACAGACACCATGAAGCCCGCAGAGCATCGTATCATCCGAGCGACGGTGCTACTTCCCTTGTCAGAGAAAATGAGGACTAGGATTGCAACAAAAGTTCCCGAAATCAGTGTCCCCAGCAATAACCAAGGAGCGTAACCGGCGCTCCCTAGCAAATTAGTCAGCAATATGCTCGCCTAATAGTGCAGATACACACCAAATAAGACTTGAACGCAGAACAGTGGTCCAAGCACACACTGCACGGCGGTGAGCCACTTGTTATAGGCCAATTCGTGATCTTCTTCAATCTCCTCTTCGGCGATAAGAATCCGTTCCATCCCCTCCTCCTCAAACTCCACCAGTCTCGAGTCCGAGCTGAACGTCTTCTCTGGTGACAAGTGTGAGGAGTCATTTGAAGTAATGACGACAGGCAGCGTCAACGTCAAGCAAAGAACTGCAGGTGCAGCCAGTACGCATGCCAGCTGTACCAGCACTGTTTGTTTGCGCGAGTGGCTGAGTGTTGGGAAAAGTATATGAAACGACTTGCGTATCCCAATCCATATTCGCTGCCACCTGCCACGCGGAATGTACAGGGCCTCTTCGCTGTCGAGTTCAGAAGCGGTCGTAGAAGGGGACGCTGGGGTGCGAAAAATAGCTGGGACAGGATGGGCCGGATTGGAATTGAAGTAATCCTCGTGTTCTTCAGGCAGCTCTTGCCGTGCTGTCCTATCCGTCTCACTTGTCCCGCGTGAGCGTGGCGACGAGCGGTCACCTAGACGCAACGTATGCATCGCTTCTTCATCAAGGGTGATGCTTGAGTGCAGGGAGGATCGAGGTGACGGTCGCTTCGTCAACGTCCGGTAGTGGCCTCCAGCGTACGGGGTCGCCGGCGAATCAAATATGCTCAAGGAGCCCGCAGAAGATTCTTTCTGCAAAGACTGAACGACGTCGCGGAATTCCAGTGCTCCAACCAGAGAGAACGAAGGCAGTTGTGCGACGTGCGATACCGGTGAGGGAGAACGCGAATGCGGGCGAGGCGGCATGTTCATCTGCAAACGAGGGGGACTTGGGGCCGAGATGGCGCGCACTCTCGGACTAGATGGCGACGTAAGAGTAACAGAGGGCACTACGTCGGATCATTAATCAAAAGTCTGCACCAAAGTGGCTATATGCGCACCGTCGTCCGTGTATGGGGGGAAGCTCTCCTCGGCAAATTCAGACCGTTTCTGCAGCTCCTTCAGCCGTAAACGTTCTTTGCGTTTCTCCCACCACGTCCCAACAACCACCAGAAGAACATACCCGACATATAGAGCAATTAGCGTCCCGGCCTCCCAGCGCTCAATCTTGCCATCCCATAAAATTACTAGAACCAGGCCAACTGCAAGGGTAAAGAAACCAACGTCCCGCAGGAATGGAGCGCGGTGAACTTGGAAAGGTTTGATAATGCACATAGAGCCCACGACGCAGGAGACAATAAACGTCGCCGCGCCCAATAGTTCGCCCACCGCCAAGCTACCAGAATTCGCGTGCATGGCCGAAAAGGTCGAGAAAACGTCCGGACTCCCGTTCCCGAATGCCAGAAGAGTCACCCCGGCGACATTTTCATCCAATCCGAGAAGATGCGAGATTGTTGCGAGGTTCGGGGTGAAGAAATCGGACGCGCTGATCCCGAGGGTAGAGAAGAGGAATATTAGCCAGACGAGTAGGCCAACAAATACCAGAGGGCGAAGGGGGCCGTCTGTGCAGAAATAATGGTGTAGATAATCGATCTTCAAGAGTGTATCTGGTTGAGGGCAATCAGCTTCGACATGGTGACACTGCGAATACACCGGGTATGCTAGAGGTTGGCACTACATGAGGTCAGTAACGAGCATCGCAAGTTTGAGAGTGCTAGCTTGCCTCGTTCTCCGAGCGCGTGCCTATTCGAGCTTCGAGAGGCAGCGAAAGCTCATACGATATCCGCTTCACGAGGCTGGCTTCTCCATGGAGAAAGCTGGCTTGCATAGGATGGCCATAGCGGCTTCTTGACCACAGTATGCAATTCAAAACCAAGCATACGACGAAGATGAACCTTGCTGCGCCGTTGGACATGAGGGATACGGTCTAAGAGGGGTTATGCAGCATGCGGACGTGCTGGTTTCGTTCGAACGGCGATGATGATGCACTAGCCGAAGTAGCAGCCTCCATCCCAAGCACTGACAAATACAGGGCCCTGGCCCCGGCCCGCATTACGCAATTCTTTCGATTCTATTGAACTTTTGAAGTCACCCCATGGCCCAGTCTCGGGGAGTCGAAGGACCATACTGGCACTGATAGAATCGATGATTATTGATAAGGCATTCCCTACGAAGCTTACTTTTTTGGGTCCTCAAGTCATTATTCAATAGCAAATGGAAAATGCCTGAATGACGCAGAAATGACGCCGTACCAAGCACCGGCAAATACACCGAGTCCTTCTCCCAAGTCTCCATTATTGAATCCAGTCCGTGCTTGACATTTCGATTGGTGCGTCCATTTGACCGACATATATTTCCAGTGCCAGAGCACATGGCCCCCTCAGCCGCTACCATTGGTATTTTTATCGTCGCCGTTATCGAAGTGGAAATGGGGTTGTCTATTTTGAAGCGCAAGCTCCGCCAACACTGACAAGGATGGGAGAGAGTGGCGACAGCTGCGTGGAACACTCCAGTTCGCCGACGTTTCAACTCCACGGCGGGGCTGATTTATTCTCAAGGCCCCTCGCCTACGTCGACCGCAGACGATCTCGTACTTGTGAAGGTTGGGGGTGACTGCATCTGATGGTGTAGAATTCAACTTTGATTTTCGGGTTGAACGTAGTCGTTTTGTGAACCCACGATATGTTCAACACCGTCGCCTTTCTCAAAATCATTATTCCCGTGATTTCTAGAACTCTGGCGTGTCCGAACCTAGTCAAAACAACGGTTAAATCCCAGGGAGAAGGTCTGTATGGGGCAAACACGGACCTGGATCAGGCTGGCATGATGGTTCAGTATGGCGGGGGTAACGTTAAATGATGTTGAGAGTTCAGTTGAGCTGTCGTTCCGTGCATTGGGTCGCAGATCGGCACGGGCGTTGAGGACAGCCAATAAAGAGTTGGCATATACTGTGCAGAGCAACCGATGAGGTTCAATACGACATTGTAAATAAATGAACACTCACGCTTGCCGATAACGAAATCAAGCGCGAGAGTGTAGAAAGAGTTGGGCAAGACACTGAATACGATAGTTTCGGCGATGGCGGCCGCGCTAGATTTATGGCAAATGTTAGCGTAATATAAACGATTCTCAAGAATGTCCTACCAGGTTAGTATACAGCGATTTACAGCAAATATGATTAATTTATTGATAACGCTGTTGGTATCGGCAAATGAGGAGCGATTGCTGGCTAGTAGGACGCATAGAGCCGCTGCAATCAGAATGTCCGAAATAACAGTAGTGATCCCAAATGGAACAACTGAAGTTAGCTGGGGACTTTTTGAGTATCTTTAAGGAGCTCAAAACACTGCACTCACTGAGACCTCTTTCAGGAGGACGAATTGTTTCTTCTCAAATCTATAGATTAAATCTTGAGTCTATGCACGCTTTTAGTAAATTTTGAAGCTACGCACACATGAACCACAGTAGCTGATCGAGGAAGAATGTGGTGAGACGCTGAATAGATTAAAGAATGGAAAACGCACTGATCCCAAATGCTTTATGAATTGCTTGTTAGTTTTGTTTGAATTGACGACGAAGGGCAAGGAACCTGCCGAAATGAGCCAGGACGAAGATGCTTATTATTCCAGTGATC